TCTCTCATACTCTCTCGCATTCTCTCTAACTGGTAAATATTTGTACAATAAGTGAAATCCAAGGCTATTTCACAATAATTATGATATTATTATTTATTTAATTATTAAATCACTGTACTTATAACTAATTTAAGTAAAGTTATGCATAAGGAATATAAATGAATTGTTATGTTATATAAGTATTGCTCATTCAATAGCTCTTCTTTGTAAACAATATTTATTTTATTGATTTAAAGAGACGTTAAATTCAAAACACTTTTCTAATGTACAAATAAAGTAAACATTTTATTTGCAATTTTTAAGCTAAAAAAGGTTATTTTTAAAGAAGGTATTTTCCAAAAGTTTTTAAAAAAATAAAACACGAAGTAATTATTATGTTATGAATGCTTTATAATTGTTTAAGATTTTGATAATGGATAATTTATGACTTTACTAAATTTAATGGATGTGACTAATAAGCTATCATTTACGAGAGTGAAGTCGTCTGGAATACCAGCCCACACATCATACCCATCCCTCTTCTATGTCAGTCATTATACATCTAATAAGAATATTAAAGAATATGTTTGAATACAATCAGAATATACAAAGAGTTGTGGTTTACCTCTGGAAAAGGCTGTCCTGTCATACATGACTGGCTATTCAAACATCAAATGTAGACAACATTGAAGAACAAACAAAGTTTTACTATAATTTTTATTATATTATACTTTATCATACTGTAGTACCCTAGTATTAAACTATCATATATCAAATACCTATTTGGTAATAATAGGTACTGTTTAATTTGTATTAGAAATTTTCTAGGCTAACCTTTCACTGATCACTGATCAGCTATTGAATCAGAGTCCTAAAAATATTAATCATTTTCTATTTATATGATTTAATGACTGAAATTGTAAAATTGGTACTTTTTATTAAGCATCAATTTCATATTTGAGACCACATCGATATCATGTTTATTTGATCCAGAATACACATATTAGCCCAGGGGTTAAAGGGGACATCATTTGTATATTTACTGTCGAATTGGGATAAATGTTATCAAAATGAAAACTAAAACTAATACGGCTTACAATACGAGCTTACTATGAGAATGAAGGCTAACCTCATACTCTATTTAGAGCACATAAAAACTCTTAAAAACTTTTGTTAGCCTTCACTCGTATTGAGAAACACAGCACTTATATTATAATTAATTTTTTTCTTATGAAAACCTTTTTCAAATTTAATATTCACAAAAAGAAATTGAATTTTGAAATTTTTGTCGGAGTTATGGATAAATGACTGCCTCTAAAACGGTGCTCTGATTTATCATTGGATCCTTAGTGGTGGAAAAACTACATTTTAATCATTAGAGCGATAATTATTCATTTATTTGGATTATGTTGTGAACGCTTACAACCACTTTTGAATTTGGAGAACATTTTCTCGAAATCTTTGCAGACTATCATTAAATTGAGTTTAACTTTTATTGTGAGCATTCACTTAACTAATTAAGTTTGACTTTAATTTGTGAAGCAACCACACATTTGGTAAGTACTGATAAGTTTTAAAGTAGTCATAAAGATTTGAGATTCCTATTACCTAACGTTACTAGTTAACTTAAAGTAAGCTTACTTGCTATACTCAATCGTATCTTTTCTATTTCGAAAATTTTTAAATAATAATTATGCTTGGTAAGAGTATTTTAGAATTACTGATAATATGACTATTAAAAATTTTACTTAAAATTTAAATTATTTATTATATAAATTTTATAAAATTAATTTTAAAATAAAGAAACTTAATTTACAATACAATGATATACTGTACATAATAAATGTATATTTGTGTTAGCAATATCATTTAAAAGTTTTGGATAATACCTAATATTTTTGGAATATATTAAAATAGTTTTATTGAGCATTTATTAAAATTTATTATAGTTATATAAATGATTTAATGGATATTTTTAAACAGTTTAACACAACGTTTTTAAATGTTATAATAGCGACAATTTTGTAGGTTACGTGTTGTTGCTTAACATAACCTCTAAATTTTTATGATTTTATAAACTTTCTTTTTTATTTAAATGTCGGTAAAGTTTAATGCTAAACAAGGTTGACTGGAGTTAACCATAATCCTATTAACTTCCAAATTTATTCAAAATAATATTCAAAGTAGACTATTTTTAATTATTAAGTATTCAAATTTTTTTATAACAGTAATATTTATTTAAATAATTAAAGTCAATTGTAGTATAACTACCATTTCGATAACTTACTTTTAATCTAGACAACAATATTTTCTACATTATCGAGTACACTAAGGCTTTGTACTACTATACAGTAACTTAGTTGAATACATTTTATTTATCAAATGTTTTATTAGAAAATGTGTCCAATAATCCGTTGTTTTCCAGTTTAATTATTATGTATCAGTTTCTATTAGTCTTCTAGCATTATAATGAACTTTGGGGGCAGGGGGTGATCCTAGGTGAATCTAGTAGCTACATTTTCCTCATAGGAAAGTATATAAAATATATTTCATGCAACATTAACATAATACGGACAGACATTTAATAATTACATAAATGAAATTAATTTAATTACGAGGTCAAGGCTTTATAGGTTAGCAATGGATTTGAAAAAGTAATTTTTAGTTCGATATCAGTTGACAAACATTAACCCCATATGAGAAAAAAAGTGAACTGCTTTAAGGGTCAAAAACAAGCTTTCATACGATAAACAATTAGGACAATCAGCGATCAATTTAAAACTGACGGTGACCTCAATCGCCCAAACACAACATACTTTTACAAAAGTTTTATGTTTGCAAAACTTTAATTTGTAGACACAAACAATAGGATAGAAAAAGTAACTTTAAACTCCCTTGAACTCGATATATCTATAATTAAAAATCACTTCTCATTTTGTAATTATCGTTACTTTTATTTCGGACGCGCTCGCAGACTAAGATGGGAGCCCTCACGCAATTGTCTCTGATCATATTTTTTGGAGCTATAAGCTCAGTCGTGTCGTGGCCTAGCGGTGCCCCAGGTATAACAGTTTTATTGTTTTAAATTAAAAATATGTTTTTTTTATTAATTTTGTAAATTTGCAGAATCGGTCTGCAATTCGTTGACTCCAAGTCACGGGGAAAGTCAGGCGCGAGGGGCCGACCAATCGCCGTATAATTTGGTTCAATCGCATCAGGACTACAACGGCGGCGACAGAATCAAAGGTTTATATCATATATAATATTCATTTAAATGTATATATCTCTGGAAAATTAATTTGATTTTAATGGCAACTATATTGGCGTTTAGTTACATTGAACGCTCCTCAGGGCTACTCATTCCGCGGGCTTATAGTGCAAGCGTACGATCCGCACACAAATGCCGGTAATTCCTATGAAACACATTAAAGTTTTCAATTTAGTTAACATTTGTGCAAACATTGCAGTTATCGGCAAATTTGAAGCCGGAAAGGGTCTGAAGACCATCGACTCGTGCAGTGCTGTCACTCACACCGACAGGAGGTTTGACACTCTTAACCGAAATCGTGTATAAAACTAATGATTTGTGAAACTCTTTGCAGAGGTAAAAGGTCGGCCACATTGGTGTGGACGGCGCCCAACTCTGGTAGGGGTAACGTTGCCTTCAGAGCAACAGTCGTCCAGAGATTTAGTGATTTCTACACTAATCTACACTCGAGTGTTAACCCAAATAACTAATAAATGTTTGCGAAAAACATAAGAAAAGAGTATTTTTTGTAAATTAGTAGTAATAGAGAGATATTGTATTGTATTTTGTAATAAATTTAAGAATTTTTAAATTCATAAACATTATAAACACGTGTTTGTCTGTAAATTCACACTATAATCTTTTGTAATTAACTTTTTAAAAACTAATCACATATTTTTGACATAAGGAATATATTTTATTCGTAATTAAAAGCAAACTAAATATATTTAAAAATTAGAGATAATTATATAATTTCTAAATTACTCTTAAATTTAAACTAAAATCTCCTGGTACAATTAAAAAGTTTATAAATTATGTTGTTTGGTATGGTAGTACTGTAGTAAATAATAGGCAATTAATTACCTGATGTTTACATAAATTAAAAGTTTTTTAAATTATGAGGCGACCGTCAAATTAAACTTTGTTTGACTTTCACATAATGTGTTGACACTGTTATAGACTAGTTTCCCAGAATTAATAGTCACTTGTGGAGAGAGTGAACCTAAAAAAGTCAAAATAAATTCATTAGTTTTGGTAATTATGTGAAATAATTATGTCACAAATTTTTATCGCATATAAAACTCGAGTCAATACTGAAACGAAAAGTTATAAATAAATTAAAAACTCAGAGAAAAAGAGTTACTCTGATTGACGAGTGTATGGGTAACACATATCCATACAATCTTTATGCATAAAAAAGTTTTCAAGTTTACAAACACCCACTCCTTATTGTGTCCTCACTTTGCAATTCATTTCAATTCTCTATTCTCTCGCATATTCTGTCGCTTTATGCTCGAGTCTTACAGTCTCTCTCTCTCTCTCTCTCTCTCTCTCTCTCTCTCTCTCTCTAAATATTTACACAATAAATAAAATCCAAGGCTATTTCCCAACAATTATGAATTTTTATTTGTTTTATTATTAAACCATTTTATTTATAACGTATTCAAGTATTGATTTAAATAAAGTTATGCATAAAAGGAATAGAAATGAATTGTTATATAATATAAGTAGTGTTCAAACAATAGCTCTTCT